TAGTCTGTTCTAATGACAAACATCGTGAATTGGGTGCTCTATGTTTTTTCATTAATCGTACTTTATTTGCCGTAGGCGGCCAAATTGAATTGATCAGACAGTAGTCAACGATACAGAGTGAAGTTAGAACTCGCTGAAAATTCATTCTTGCACATATGGTAAGAAGATTTTGCATACTGTACAAAAACAAAACACTGCCTAGGAGCAACTGCCTCAAAAGCCATTCCATCGAATCTTCTGAAGAAGTACTTGGAGTACAGGTCCAGTCCCCAGTACCGTCGGTGAGCTTCATCTAAAAAAAAGAACGTTATGAGCTTTGTTTTAATCAGAGCTGTTTCCATTCCCATCCAAATTTTATTTTCAGAAAACCGACGGCAGCGGTGCTGCATTTCAGTTTAGGGACATAAAGGAGGATAATACTAATAATGAGCTGATGATGAGAGGCAGTCGAGATCGAACCAATGTTCAAGACAAAGATGGTAAGCCTCCATCTTGCTACTTATTTTATAGCATATTCGTCCTTTATTTCACAAAAAACACGAGTTTTACAGGTTTAAGCGGAAAAAATGAGTTTTTGTTCTTAAAAGATGCAGTTACACTAAAAAATTATGAAAAAGCACGAGACGCGGCGGGAGGAAGGGGGAGGGGGGGAGGAATAGTTCCTTTTTTTTGTTAGTACTAAACAACATGTAGCGAGATGCACTGTGACTGCATACCCGGTTGTAGGGGAAAAAAATTATGCTCAAATTTGACCTTTTCTTTCGCTTCGTTTATCCGCCGCTTCCTTTACAAGGATTACTCCAAAATTACGTTCCTATTACTAAAATTGTTTAAGTTTAACGCTTTTGAATCATTTATTTTTAAATTTTAAGTCAGCTTAATAATGTATATAACGTCTCTGGCTAATTTTCATCTCCCTCTCGTTGAATTTTGTGTCCTTTTTGACTTTCGTTTCTGTTAGGTCCGGTAAACCGACAAATTTATTCAACCAAAATCAAAAACCCCCTCTTCCCCCCCCCCCC